AATAGATTCCCTGGGCAGTGACATTGCCAAAATGGTGCAGTTCTTCAGAGAATGCCACCAGTATACAGTACAGGATGAGAGTGTCATCAAGACAAGAATAGCCAGAGTAAGTTGTGTAGACACCTCTTACATTTTCTCTCCTGAGCAGAACTGTAGTAATCAAAGAGGGGGATAAAACCCCCATGTTTTCAATCTGTTTCTCCAAGTTTTTAACCATTTTCTTTAACCTGTGAAGAAAATAGAGCTCTTTGTTGTGTGGCATCTTCAGCTTGTTTTAAACTTTTTGTGTGTTGTTTTTTTTATAAGTGAATAAACTATGGGTTTGTAAGTCCATGGGCAATATGCACAGGAGAGTCAAAAAATCTTTGCTTTAACCAAATATTTAAAGATTTTTAATTTTAATAACTATAGTTCTGGACTGGAATAGAAAGCAAGAACTATTTGTGTTACATGTGAAATAGAGGATTAATTTTGGCTTATTTATTTTCTCTGCCTTAAGCTCTGTTTTTTAGTTTTCCTTCTGGTTTGTGTCTTAGTAATCCTGCCTGATGTTTAGTGTTCCTCTCCCTGAGGGTGGCACAGGCAGGAAGGGTAGGAAATGCCTGAAGCTTTGCCTGGCAGTGTTGGGGACAAATGAGTTTATTAATTCTCATTTGCTGCTCTGAGCTGTGCATGGGCATTCCAAGGGCTTCCTTGTCTGTGTTTTTGTGTGTAGCTGGAATTCTGGAGGAGTCAAACTTATTTAAAAAATAAGAAGGGAACAAATAACTTACCTGAACCTTCTTACAGCCCCTTGTGCTGCTCTGGAGAGAAGCGTTCAAGACTTCAAACAGCAAGACAGGTGTGCATCCACAGGGATTTACTGTGGGAAGCTGGTTTGGAAGCTGGCATCTTCATTTGGGTGTGGGAACTATTCTGGAGTGCTTGGAACCTTCTGAGCATTCATTGCCTGTCTTCATCATGGAGCTGATGAGCTGGTTCTTTTGGTTTATTTCATTCTGTTCAAGCTCCTAATGCCTTCAGTTGTAGGTGTTGATGCATTTCGTGGTCTTTGACAGCTGCTTCTTGAACCTTATTTCCACAGATCCTTCATTTTAATGAGGTTTTTGCAAAAGCTCTTGTGTATATATTGATTTTTTTTAAGATTTTTCACCCCTTAAGGCTACATGTTGTTACAGAGCCCTGTGAATTTCGCATCCTGAGTGGAAACAGGGAGAACAGTGAGCAAATCAGCATGTGTAAAATACTTCTTTTCCCTGAATCGTGCTGTTAATGGGATTTGTCACTCCCTCACAGGGAGCACGGACAAAGGAAACCTATCCAAATGTGGAATAAACCAGTGCTTTCAGACCTGTTAACCTGGGCTCCAGGCATCACCATAACTAACTTAGCACTGTCCTTTTGCAGCTGGATATGCCCACTGAGCACATAATTGCCAACCTGAAAACAATTATCCACGATATCTGCACCTTCAAGCCGTCCAATTTGGGTAAGGAGTCGCTGTTCTCATGTGGTTGTTCAGGTTGCAGCAAACACAAGTGGGACATGGGTGTTCTTTACTGCATTGTCATTCAATTCCTGCCCCCCATGTATCTCTAAAATTCCTGCTCCTCCAAGGGAAAAGTTTATTCTTTCCATGCTTTTTTTTTTTTTTTTTTTTTTTATTCCTTAGCAAAAGGAGTAATAAAGTCAACTTTAAGCAGAGGGCACCTGCTTAGCTGGAGAGGAAATGGTGATTCATGAAATAATTTTAGGGAAGGAACTTCGTGTAAGCTAAAAACCCCTTTTTTTGTCTTGATACTTGCTTAATGTCTGCCAGAAGAATGATCCTGCCTCTCTCCTGGTGATGCTGCTGATAGTAGTTGCAGAGACCAGACCATATAAAGCCAAGTACACGTGCCTTGAGAAGCCCAAATCAAAACCATAAGGGGTTGCCTGACTTGAAATAAAAAGTAGATTAAGAAAGTGGTGTTTTGGGGTGTTTGTTGAAATGAATTTAAATCAATTTACATCAGCCCAGTTTAGTGAGGGTTAGCTTTTCTGCCCTGAGTAGCTTTTCTACTGATTTGGAGTGTCACGCCTGATTCCTTGTGGTGTTCTTTTACTGGCTTGATGGAAAACATTTGCTGGGAGCAGTCAGCCTGGAGACCTGGGAAAGGGTGGAGTGATCAGTGTGGTGGTGCCCTTTGTTTTCCCAGATCCCATTGTGCAGAGGTTGGTTATCAGATCCTCCACCAGCGAAGGTCTGCAGCTGAACCTTGATGGAATCCTACCTCAGGTGGAGAAAGTAGAGGAAAAAGAGGAAGAAAATGCAGGTGATGAGGATCAACAAAAACCTGCCCAAGAATCTGTTAGTACCTGATGTCTTTTCCTTGTGGACCTGGTGGCCGAGCTCGGGAAGTGAACGGTGTCGTTCAAATCATGCTCTGTGAGAACAAAAAATAAATGCAACTTGTGGATTTCACATCGAAATTCGGTGTAATGTTGTCACAAACAGGAGCCTGTTGCCAGAACCGAGCAGGTGTTTTTTCCTAAGGAAGAATCGGGTGTGTTTTGTGAGGGGGAGCCAACGTGCACCGTGCCCTGATGTGTTTTCCTCATCTGGTTTTCTGGAATGCCAGCTGGAGAACCGGCTCTCTTTCCCGGTGGTTTCTGCTTTCCTTCCAGGAGATGGCGCTCCCGCCCTTCCCGCCTGTGTAGGCGTTGGAATTTTTCCTGGGGTGGGTTTTTTGGGGGGCTCTGTTGTTGAACACGTGTTCATAAAGCTGCACCCCGAAATGTAAGATGGTCTCAGAAAGGACTGGCTGTTTACCACAGGGATGAGCTGGTCCAAATCTGGAAAGGTTTCGAATCATTCCTATTATTGGAGGTTTTTCCAAGAGGTTACCGGGATCTGTCTGCATGGAAATTCTTTTAGCTCCCCTCGGCAGCATTTGGCTGCTGTCAGTCAGGGTGACCAATTCCTGTCAGGCCACGCTGATTATTTTTGGTTGTTTGCTCAGAGTTTGATCCAAAAATTCCCTTTAAGGTGTGTATAGGAAGGTTGCATACTGATCTAATAGACTTTCTATGTTTTAAGTGGGAAAAGCAATGCCAGTGCACTTGAATATCTTTATTTCTAAGGAATTACACATGTAAGGGATATTATGAGGCATTTCAATGGTTGTGACCCAAAAGGAGCAATTTGAATGTGAACGTTTTCTACATCTGGTGGTATAGAAAAGCACAGCCTGTGGTATTGTCTGCATAGATTTCTTTGACTTTTCCTCTGTTCTCTTGGCTTATTTCCAAGACTTCACTATCCATTTTGGGAAAAGATAGGCCTGCCCTCTTTGATGGGTAGATTTAAAAAAATAAAAGTGTTGCTTAAACAAATGCACAGGTGAGCTTAAATCAGAAGCTTTCAGAGAATAAAAGCATAGAACAACAAATGTTCCTGCAGGAATCTGTGCTTGGAAAATCCCAGAACTGTGGGGACACGGGAAATCTGTGCCTCTGGAGGTCAGGTGGGCAAGAGAAGCAGCTGATGAGGTCAGCAAGGTTTCAGGTGTAGTTCTGAACTCGTGTTGCTGATTGCTGAAGGAATAATGCCCCTGGTCTGTGCCATGCTGGAACGGTGCTGGACAAGCTATTAAGTGCCTTGTGATTTATTTTTGTCCTGAAATGCTGGATTGGCATGGGGGGGCAGAGATGGAAGGGAGGAAGACAACATGAGATGGTTCCTCTTTAATGGGCTTAGTCCCCAGACATGCAGAGTGGGACCTGTACATGTGGTCCTTGGGCCCATGTGCCTTAGAAATCCCTTTAATTGTCACACAGAGCATGGCTGCAATGGCACTGCTGGCTTCTGGAAGTCACTGTGGGAGGGAGGGAGTGCTGCAGCACCTTTAGCATTGCAGATGATGTATGATGGCTCTTAGGTTTGTTTTATCTGAACCTGCTAACTGTTAGTTTAAAGAGAAGAGCTGGGATTCATGCTTAGTGCACGCAGAAACATTTGCCCAAAGAAGGAAGAAGCTGTCCTGGGAGCCTGTGTGCAGTTGTGGGGAGTGCAGGGTTTAGGCTGACACTCAGCCTCAACCTGGACTTGTAGGGGGATTTGTGGCACTCCAAAAAATCTGGAATCCTTGTGGGTCAAGCTGAGTTCACAAGGCTTGTGCTTGGGAGTTCTGCCACAGCTGGAGGAGCAGGGCAGGGATGTTACAGCTGCCACCAGGGTTTTAGTGCTGACAGGTTTTTAGTGCTGAGATGGGTGTTCTGAGTGATTAAATATGGTTTTATTATCCATGTTCTGCAATGCCAGTGGTCTTGGCAGCCTCCAGACTCTGGGAGAGGCTAACGCCACAGCTGAAAATCTGTCCGTGTGGGAAAACTTGGATTGACTGAAATAGGACAGAGGGGTGGGAAAAGCTCTTGAGGCTGACTAAAAACACTGTCAGGGATAAACATAATTATTCTCCAAGCAGTTATTTCTGTCACTACCTCAGCTTGCAGGTGGCTAGAGGCTTCATCCCACCAGGATATGAAGGGAGAATTGTCAGTGTGTCACCTGCAGGACTGCTTGGAAAACAAGAGGAAAATGGCAGTCTTCCCAAATTGCCAGGTACTGGGAGATGCTGGAGTAAGTCACACGTGGTGACACTGCAATGCCCTGTTGTTTTCCGGGGCTAATCTCATGGATTTAAAAAAAAGGCTTATCAAAAACTTTGTAAAAAGCCCAGTTAAAACCTGTAAAAATATTTAACTGTCAGGCATTCTGGAAGTGGGGAATGCAGATAAAAGCTCCTTCCCTTGCCAGAGATGGATCCTTCTCAGAGCCATGTTTCTCCAGCTGTTCTGTGGAAGTCTGAGCCAGCACATGCCCAGCTTTCCAGGAACACAAGGTATGTCTGGCTCCAGTCTCTTCAGCCAGGGATTTGCCAAGTGGAGAAATGGCTCTTTGGCACCAACTTGCAGAATGCTCTGCCTAGAGGTTTGATAAAAGGGAGGCTGCAAGTGGTTTATTCCTACAGCCCCAGTGACTTTTAGTGCCATTATTTCCAAGATCCGTGGCAGCAGCTGACAGCTGCCTCAGTGGTTTTCAAGTCGTACCCTTCAAACTTTCAGCCTTTAAACTACCTCATATATCTCCTGAGAGAGTCTGAAGCTTTATAAGTTTTATAATTTTAGTTGCTGCTAGTCTGTAAGTAGACTCGAAATAGAAATGCTGCTTTTGTGTTAAATAGGATGCAAAGGACAAAACTTTACCAAACTTTGAATTTCTTAAAATTTCAAGTCTTTTGCACCAAGTGCAAAACTTGAGAAATGCTGGAAATGAGCGTTTGCTAGAGGGAAAAGCTCTCCATTCATATTGTGGAATGGGTAAATCTGCAGAATTATCTAAGTTATGGGTCTGGAGTTGTGACTTTTAACAGGGTCTTTGGAGCAGTGTTGTCAGAACAGCAGGAAGGAAGGTAGGAGAAATAGGGAGGAGGAGGTTGTAGCTGGACTAGGGAAACAAGTTGTAAAAGCCTAAAGAACGGCAGCAGGAAGGTGAACAACACAAATGGTTAAAAGATGGACTTGACACATTTATGTGAAGTTATTGACCCCTCTGTGTGTTTGGCTTTAATTATTTTCACCTGTTCTTTCTTGCTGGTGCTTCTTTGAGTTTGGTGAAGTTGTCCAGAGTTTCACCTGAGGAGTTAGAAGGGACCTGGGGCTTGTGTATTGTTTGCTGTGGGAATTCCAGCACAGCGATTAAAGGCACACAGTCCTGGGGAGGAAAAAACACCCCTAAAAATCTGACCTCCAGTTTGGAGTTCAAAATGTTAGTGTTCATTAGGAAGTGAATCGAAATTGAGCAGATGGAGTTACCACGGGGAGTTGGTGTCAAATTGAGCTGCCATTTCATCAAATTTCATTGCATTTCATCGGGCAAGCAGGAGATGAAGGCAGCAGCAGCAGCCCAGCCCCGTGCAACCAACTGCTATGAAGCAGGAATGCTGAAATCAGCAGGGAAAAAAAAAAAAAAAAATTTAATTCACAGACTAGTAAAAATAAACTCACTTTCTGAGTTCATTTTAATTTGGGGCTTGGAATGGCTGTAACTTCAAATTTGGGGTGTTTTTCTTTATGTGGTGACTTGTAGGAGCCAAACTTTAATTTGGAAACGTTGGCTTCGAGATGTGTTGAGTGTGTAGTGCTGGTGGGGGTGACAAGGGAAGCTTTTCTCGAGTGGACATAGTACTGTGTGTGTGTAAGTGCTTAAAGCAAGAAAACACTGTAAGGGCAGCAGCTGAACTTAAGTTTCTGTTGTTTTTTGTTAATTTTTTTTTTTTTTTTTAGTTTGAGTGTTTGATTTGTGATTGCTAGCCTTTGAATCTTTTAACTCTTGCTTGGATTTGCTCTAGGAAAGAAGAGCAAAGCAGCGGCCATTCCAAGAAGAAATGGACACGGAAACAGACCAGGCTTTGATACTTGCTGTTACAATCCTACAACCCAACCTGACCCCCAAAACACAATTAGCAGCTTCCAACCCCGGCCAGAGGGTGACCTCTCCCTTCCAGCCGCCGGGATGGCTCAAGTCAGTGGGGCCAGGTCCAACACAAACCCCTTTGCTTTGCCTGATCCCGGCACAGCTGCGGGATTACTGGGGGCTGCTCCATCGCCAGGTAGCCGGCGGGGGGAAGGGGGAGAAGCCAGAATCCTCGGGGAGGGGGAGCGGGAGAGGCTCCGGTGCCGGGAGGAAGGAGGGCGGGGCGGGGGGCGGGCGGGCTGCGGCGCGGAGCTGCCCCTTTGTCTGCGGGCCAAGTTGGGCGGCGGGGCGGGGCCGAGGCGCTGCCCCGGCACCTGCCGCGGGCCCGGCGGGCACTCGGCGCTCGCTGCTCGCCGCCGCGGGCCATGGGCGCCCCGAGCGCCGCCGTGCTGCTGCTGCTGCCGCTCCTGCTCCGCGCCGCCTCAGGTGAGTGGCCCTCCCGCGGGATCCCTGAGGAGAACGCTCCGAGGCGCCTTTCCCCCTGCGCGCGGGACGGCGCTGCCTCCCTCACCGCGCTCCCGGCCCGGGCGGGGGTCCGCCTCCGCCCCCCGCCATTTTGGCGGCTTCTCCACCGGCGAGGTGAGGGGCACCGGGGCGAAGCCGTGCCCGGCTCCTCCCGGGCGCGGAGGAGCGCGTGTCCCGCTCCGGGCACGGCCGGGCTGCCCCTGACGCCGGGCGGGAAGGCGGCGGCGCTTGGCCGTGCCCCGGCTGGAGTTGTGCGAGCCCGCCGCGCAGCCCGCGCTGAGGGGCGGGCAGCGCCAGCCGCAGCCCTCACGGAGCGCTCGGGAATGCGGCGCCGGGAGCTGCTCGGTGCCCGGGCAGCGTGAGGGGAGCCGGCCGCAGCCCTGCCCCGCTCCTGGCGCTGTGTGGGAGCGCTCGGGGAGACGCGCCGGGGTCGGTGTCGGTGTGCCGGGCGGGCAGGCTGCTGCTGTTCGGAGTTTGGGCTGCTGTTTTC